TTAAGGACCGGGTACTCAATTAAAGACTTCTTCAATTTCTTGAAGGTGGAGGTGCAGTCTTTGTCCCAATTCCAAACTGTTTCCTTCCTCAAAGTGCACCACARATGAACACTCAAAACAAGAAGAAGAAACGAAGGTATGGTCAGGTTTGATTATGTGTATGTGCATTTTAGTGTTTCGGGCACTTTTTTTTTTTTTTTGCTCTTATGCAAGGCCTCTATCCCAAAGGTGGTAAGAGAACCACCGGAATTGAGGCTTTGCCTGGTGGGCTGCCCCATCTATTGGTGGGGAGCATCACCTGCTGGAAACCATGTCCACTATGTAACCATTTGAACGTCGTGAATGCGCGTTCTCATTTAAACGCGCGCGTTCAATCCCCCTCTGCGAGCGTTCAAACACGTTCAAACGCACCACGTGGCAGGGGGTAGGAAAAAATCGAACATGCACCCCCTCCCAGCATGCGCGCGTCGTGCACCACCCTGGGGCACGTAGCATTCAAAAAAAGAAGTAAAAAAAAAAAATACGAAATACCCCCACCCAAACATATACACACGCACACCAATACACACAGATGTATTTACACACACACACATGCACTCTTTTTTTTTTGTTGGGTGGGGGGAGAGAGAGAGAGGGAGAGAGAACTGGATCCCCTTAGCATGACTCAAAAGTCCCATGCAGGCAATCGAGAGGGTTCTCGCAACAATAAAGTGTAGACCCTCCACCAAAATCGAGGCAGACAGTGAGTATGACATAGAGCACGAGCTGGCCAAATGTATACTCAGGATTCAAATTCAAGTCTGTGTTTCAGYAGTTATGGGTTGCTCATGTAGCTAGGCCGTGTTGGTCTATGCACGTGATTCTCAGGGCATGGCTGCAGTACTCATGGAATGTGCAAAATTAGAATGAATCTTCTGCAGAACCTGGAATAATACATCGCCATATGTTTTGTCTTTTGTGCATGTGGTGAGTAGACGCCCTTAGGGCCAGTGCACGTATTAAAAAGAAAACGAGAAAAAATAAAAATAAAAAAGAGAAACAGTGACCCATAACCGAGATGCACAGACCTAAATTCGAATCCAGACTATATATTCTTTGACCACGCTGGCAAGTGGAAGTTTGAAGTCCACCTCTGCTGCACGTGGGGTCCTAGCTAATTCGTTGTGAGGGCCCTTCGGAAAAGAGGCTGAACACAATTAGGAGGGAAAAAAAAAAAGAAAAAAAAAAGGACATGAATGTTAATATGCCTATGCATGTGGCCATAGTTTTGGGGTGTGGCGTGGCCCTGACTTTTCTCCGTGTTGCTTTCTGATTTTCAAAAGTGAGCGGAGTGTTTGCTGCATTATTTGCACATATTTTTTTCCACATACGGATG